GAGAGAGAGAGAGAGAGAGAGAGAGAGAGAGAGAGAGAGAGAAGGTCAAAGTCGTCCATGTTGCGTCGACGGTCCGTCGCTTACCAGTATCAACGATGACGTCGATAAGGTCCATGCTCTTGGCGAAAGCATCCCTCAGATTGATGTGATGGAAAGAAACGATGCTGCCCTCTCTCTTAGCCCTTTCAAGAGCCTCCCGCCTCTTAAGGGCCTTCTCCCGTCTCATCTGATTCTTGTAGAACTCAGCGAAGTTGTTGACGATAATGGGAATGGGTAACGCGATTACCAGGACACCACATATACAACACACACTGCCGATCACCTTGCCGAGCGGGGTCGTGGGGTAGATGTCGCCGTATCCGACGGTGGTCATCGTGATGCCTGCCCACCAAAAGGTTTCTGGAATGCTTATGAATTTGGTCCCGGGCTCCTCCTTCTCAGCGAAGTATGCGAGACTAGAGAATATGAGGACACCCATTGCCAGGAAGAGCATCAGCAGGCCCAGCTCCTTATACGAGTTACGTAAGGTAAAACCAAGACTCTGTAGCCCGGTCGAATGGCGAGCCAACTTCAAAATTCTTAAGATCCTCATTATACGAAAGATCTGCACTACCCTGCGTACATCTTGGAATTGGTCGGTCGCATTCTTGTTAGTCTCGACCAGGAACAGGGACACGTAGTATGGCAGTATAGCCAATAAATCGATCACATTGAGACCGCCTTTGAAGAATTTCCACTTGTCCGGCGAAGCACTGAACCTAAGCACGTATTCGAGGGTGAACCATGTTATACACACGGCTTCCACCATGGCTAGTTGCGGATTGTCTTGAAAGTTCCCCTTCTCATCATTCACTTGCATACTAGGAATTGTGTTGAGAGTTAGTGCGATCGTCGAAAGCACAATAAAGAGTATCGAAATCACGGCTATCACCTGGAAAAGCGACGGTCAACCGGTCAAACGGTCAAACTGTAGTATTTATCATCGTCCTCTATTAAAAACCTATCTCTCTAACTCCCTATTTAATGCCGACATTATTTTTTATATCCTCCTCATTTCCATTCTCCTTAAATAATAATTACCTAACGAACATCTCCTACTATCATCTCACGTAAAGAATCTTCAGAAAAAAGAGAGACGGTGAAAATAAATATAGAGCGAAAAATAGAATAAGACAGAGAAAGAGAGAGAGAGAGAGAGAGAGAGAGAGAGAGAGAGAGAGAGAGAGAGAGAGAGAGATATAAAAGTACCAAAAATTAAAACGAATCGGACGATTAGATAGAAAACAGTTGTACCTACAAATAAAAAATGATATCGAATAGATTCTCTCGGATAGATTTGAAACTTCCTTCTAAATTTAAACGATTAATTAGGGAATATGTAATGAAACAAGCGTAGCTATCAAAAAGAAGATGAAAAAGTGAAGAATAAGAAGAAGAAGAGGAAGAATAAGAAGAAGAAGAATAAGAATAAGAAGAGAGGAAATGAGAGTTATTTCAAAATGTTCCAACAAAGAGTACTACTCTCTTTCCTCCTTAATCAAATACATATATATATATATATATATATATATATATATATATATATATATATATATACGACGAAGCCATATCGAGAAATATTTATAATACACAATAAGCTATTTCATTTAACGAAAGCGATTGATAAAAATGATGAAAAAGCTTTGGTAAAAAAGCTACAGAGATATTATAAAAGATTATTATAAGGAAGAAGGCTATGCCAAATCTAAAAATTGGATTATTATTCATCGTTATTAATATTTTCTATCATTTCTTCGCTTAATATAAAAATTGGCGAATAGAAGCGAAGCGACAATTAATTCGACGATTTAAACTAAAACATACGAAATGTCTGGCATTAGATGAACTATTATAATAAAAGGATTTATTATAAATGCTTGTTATACAAAAGCTCTCTGGAGAAAAAAGTTAAGTATATATCTCTGTATTCGTAATAAAATACGCGCTTTTTTTTTTTTCATCTAAAAAGGATAATGAATTAGCGCGAGAACGAGACATTATCGAAAAGAAAAATTGTAAAAAGAAAAGAAGATAAACGTAAAACCCGTGAAGAAATTCTTCATATACGAGATGAAGATAAAAACGATCGATTGATTTTCCATATCGGCAAGAAGGAATTACTTAAGAGACTTTTTACAAAATGCCGCACTTAATAATAATAATAATAATAATAATAATAATAACTATTTTATCCGAGGCGTATAAAAATGCGAACGATGGGCCAGAGCGTAAAAAAGAGTCACCAACCGGGTAGAAAGAAATTTAAGAAGAAATAACAAATATATTTATATATATACACGATGGCAACAGCATATAACAATAACAACAACAGCAAAAAATGGGAACGTATTCTAATCCCATACATTTTTCGGGAGAAATTTAATTGTTTTAATTGATTGATTGATTGATTGGGTGGATGAGGGGGTGTTTGTTGATATAAGAGAGAGAGAGAAGATTGGCGCGTCATCTTTGGACAATACGCGCGAGAAAGGCGCATTTAAGAAAAGGCAATAATATATATATATACATATACATATATACTATATATATATACATATATATATATATATATAGGTATATGTTGGAGATTTTTGAAAGCAGCAGCACCGAGAAGAGTGGCTCGTCGTTTAAAGGCAGGTCTGCCCGACGTCGCTCGACTCACAAAAAATATGTTTTGCACGTTGTTCGGCAAGCGTATTGAAGAAACATCATTAATCTGTTCCCTTCAAAACCCCGCTCCCTCTGTCTCTGTCAATGATCCCACCCTCGGATAAGACGAAACCGCGTTAATGGTATATTACTAAAATCCTATGTGGCATTTTATTTAACCCTTTCGTTCCACAAAGATTCCTTCGTACCCACGTTACGACCCCTATTTGGGTCGAGCTAGTAACGAAAGGGTTATTAATCTTAATAACGTAGAATAAATTCTTGTGCTCAATTATTTTATCAATCCCAACCAAGAAAACCCAATATTTATATAATATATATCTGTATCTCTATATTATATCTATATATTTATATATAACAATATAATATAATAGATATGCACGCATATCTATAAAATTGTATTACGCGCGGGTTTAGAAATAGTCTTCGTCGCGTCTGTGCAATCGCTACAATGCGAAATCAATTCGTAGACAGAAGGGTTATAGCAAAAATTATGTTGTTATTAATAACGCAAAAAAGTAAGAGGCGCTCGTTTCGCAAATTTATAATTACGGGTAACCGAGCTAATTCGCCGTCTCGTGGTTTAATATTGTCAAATTTTCTTTTTTCTAATTTATTTTTTTTTTTTTATTATTAATTTAATTCCTTTGAAATTCTTCCATTTCATATTTCCTTATAATTTTGGTTGTTTTAATCTTTTTTTTATGGATAGAAAGAGTCGATTTTTCGTTACGATGGTTGGCGTCAATCGTTAAACATTAAACAAACATTTTATTCCTCGAGACGGCGTTATCGTATATAATGTCATTCGCAAATTTTGTAATTATTTGAATAAACCGAGCAAATTAGCCGTCTCGCGGTCAATCAAAATTTCAACTAAATTTTACTATTAATTAATTGAAAATGAATTGGATTTTGACGATTGTTGTTAATCAAGTTAAATTGATTTAGATCATCCCCGAGACGGCGTATTATTATATAACTAGATGATCATTCGCAAATTTATTTATCATAGAAGCAAATTCGCCGTCTCGTGGTAAATTAATACACGCAAAAAAAGAAAAAAAAAAGAAAAAAAATAGATTAAATTCAAATATTATATCAAACAAACAATTCATAATTAACTCGTATCACTTATTGATTTTGAATAATCGGTCCTTCATTTTTGACGAGAAGAACGAAAAATCGAAAGATTTGAAATATAGTAATAATAATATTATCTCAATCATTGTGTATAAATGGACACGATAAAAATGATTTACACGATTAAATTCCTCGAGACGGCGTAATAGTGTAATACATAATGCAATATTTTCAAGCAGAAACTTAATAAAGGTCTTTAATAAGGTATACAATAAAAAGTGGTTTTGTCCTGCATGCAAATTTAATGAATAAAGGTACTATTTTCTCTCGATAGAAAGATTAGAAGAAAGAGTAAGAAAGATAAAGAGAAAGAGAAAGAGAAAGAGAAAGAGAAAGAGAAAGAGAAAGAGAAAGAGAGAGAGAAAGAGGAAGAGATAGAGAGAAAAAGAGAGAGAACAGTGACCATTTATTCACATGAAAATTGATCGTGCTAGTGGTATACGATCTGGATATAATAAACGTGTCCGTGTGTGTATATAGGTGCGTTAGTACGGTTAGTATAATTGTTTACAGAAAGCTGTTACGTGCGCTTTTAGGTATACGATGTGCGGTCATATTAGCTGCGAGGAAAAGCCAAATTTCTATACGAAATCATTGAACAACGATATCCCCCATTATTATTTTTCATTTATTTATTTATGTCTTCTTTTTTTTCTTCTTCATTTTGTTTTTCTTTTTCTTTTTTACGCTTTAAAATAAATCGACGTGAAAAATCATTTTCGTTTTCCACAAAAATTCAAAAAAGACGAATATACATAAAATTGGTTTCATCGATTTCGTTTAGAACTGAGAAAAAAGAGAAAATGGGGGTGGGGGATAACAGAAAAGAGAGAGGCTTATTATAAGTAGAAATAAAAAAAAAAAAAAGTAACGAAGCCGGCGGCCCGCGATTTAAGTGTGCAAAAAGGCGAGATATCTTTCGTAAAAATTCGTAAATCAATCGTGGTGGACATAAAGTGCAATGGAGATTAAAAACGCAAGCTAACTCTTTTATATTTTTATTTTTATATATATATATATATATATATATATTATATATATATATATATATATCCCCAAGTCGGATAAATAAATAAAACGCGTAACGCGTTTAAACCTCGAGTTGAGAATCTTGGAACGATCGTTTCTTTTTATCCCCCGTCACCCGTTGTGTTACTTTTCACAAATCAAATTAAATTTATTTCTTAAAAAAAAAAGACCCTAAAAATAAGAAAAATATAAATAAATAAAGATCTTTATATTTTATTTCTTTTATTTCCCCGGTTTCTTTTTTATTTATCTAATGAAAACTCAACTCGAAGTATAGTTTCTCCACTGTGTCACGACGAACGCGGGGTAGTTTTCTACAGACGATGACGACGACTTTGACGAGTTTGACGACGACGACAACGACGACGACGACAACGACGACGATGACGACGACAATAATAACGAGGACGATGACAACAATGAGAACGACTACTACAACGATAAAACGGGTCTTCTTCTCATTGACCGATTTCTTCTTCCTACCGTTTTTAACCCGTCAGCACTCCCGTGAACTTTTCGATAATCTTTATACTCTCCTAATAAGAGATTTCTTCACGCTCTCTGTGCGTAATTATTTAATAATTATTTTTAATTATTATTACATTTTTTTGTTTGTATACATGTACACATTAATTGCACTTGTAAGGGATACAATTTCAAAGTAACGAATAATATACCGAATTCAGTCGAATAACCGTAAATCAAGGAAGATGCACAAACTGACCCGAACCGCTAACGACAGTAATTTTTTCATCCTTGCATCTATACTCCCATGATGAGAAAAATTCTTACAATTTCTGAGGTGCATGAAAAAAAAAAAAATGTTTTTTTTTAAACTTTACATGGGATTGAAAAATTTAGGGAATTCATATTTTGAAAATAGATCAAATTTCATGAAGATAGAACAAATTTTACCTATCCATTCCATAAAAAAAAAAAATGATCATGTTTTAATTAAAGCATGAGCCAAATGCTCATAGCGGGAGTGCTGACGGGTTAAATATACCGTCAATCCGGGAATCGATACTTTATCTAATATTTATAAACACGTTAAGTAAGAATAATAACCGTTTCTGACTAATTCATGACTAATTGTTAAGCGTATTTTTCTTTTCTACCGCGATTTAATAATTGAAAACCAAAAAAAAAAGAAAAAAAAGAAAAAAAGAGGGAACATTATTCTTCTTCGCGACCAATGTGAGAACTTTATCGAAAAGAAAAATTCGCATCGTATGTAATTTTACATAACGAACACGCGCATGCAATAGCACATATTTAAAAACGTATATTATTATTATCATTGATATTTTTAACCAAAAATTATATAACATTAACTGATCTCAAGGTTGATGCTTGCTGTTATCAGCACGATTTTTTATTTTTCTACGAATTTATGAACTAACGTAACTCTAATCGACGAACATTTTTATCCTTCTCCACGTTTGTGTGTTATGAATAATTAAAAAAAAAAAAAAAAGGAAACAGAAAAAATACTAATGAAAATTTTGTTTACTATTATTTCATTCTCGCGTGGAAAAGTATAGAAATGTTTGAAAAGATATTAATCGTATTTCATTACCCCCAACCCCTTTTCTTCGTTTCTTTGAAAAGAGAATCGTTTGAAAAAAAAAAAAAAAAAAAAAAAGATTTGCACGAGACACTAATTAAAAATTCGCTGTATTTGTATATCGATACGAAACGAATGGTCGAATTTGAATATTAATCGTCTGGTTTAGAATGAAAAAAGTATCGAGATAGGAGACATACGTATTGTTAAAAGGTAAAATACGAACGAACGGGGGAATCTCACCGGCTTCTTTGGATCGTGACGTGTACGTACGTCTTATTGTTAGTGTGGAGAGAGAGAGAGAGAGAAAAAAGATAGTTATTATCGTCGGTGGAGTGAGAGCTTGGAGAGAGTCGATTAAAAAAGGAAGTTGGGTGCTGCCACGATTAAGAACCCCGCACAATTATTCATTTAGTTTTTTTCTTTCTTTTTTTTTCCTTGCTTTTTTTCTTTTTTTTTTTTTCCTTGCTTTTTTTTCTTTTTTTTTTTTTGTTAATCAATCTCAGAGCAATAGTGTGTGCAATGTGTATTGTTTGTGGTGTGTACGGCAAAATATTAGAAACATATATATATGTGTATATATATATATATACACGAGTAGAGCCTTTATACATATATATGTATATATATACGTATATAAATAATACGTAATTAAAAAAAAAACACAAATTCACATATATGTATACACGTATATACATATATATTTTAGTATAAGATTTAATTAGATATATATATTTATACATATATATATAAAGTATATACATATACACAGAGAGAAAAGAGACAATTACAACATTCGCGAAAGGGCGCCGCCTGCGTGACTCGAAGATTCTCTCACAGTTTTTACTATTTTTTTTTTATTATTTTTTTTTGTTTTTTTTTTTTTTTTTTTTTTTCATCTAATTAATTTCTCTTTGTTAAATTA